GATAGATAAACTCTTTTTGACTAGAATGACTTTCCGGCTTTCTCTTCAGGTCATGATAGTCAGAGATCATGTGTGTTCAAATTTGACTCATTAAGTAAAATGAAAAGTTAAAGTTACAGCATAAAATTGACACACAAATTGTTAATAAAGAGTAAGGTGGTTATTTTTATCGATCACCTTATGGATGTCTCACTTGAATTCAAGTAGAGGCTTCATATCAAGGTTTTACGCTTTTTTTGCATATGATTGTCAGCGCTAAAGTCGTAGTCTTGTTCCATGATCGATTTAGTGGTAACTCATATTTATCATAAATGGGTCACTTCAAGTTTTGCAAAAAAAAGTTTAACTTTTCGAAAAGGATTCGTGAGGAGTGGAATGTGCATCCAAGAAAATAAATATTTTCTTATCATTTCAAAAAAGGTTGTTTCGTTTTTTATGTTTTATGAAAATAAGTTAGAAAAAATACACCGTTAGGTTTTAAAAATAAAACTTTCAACCAAACCAAAATGTTGAAAGAAAAGAAATAGAAACATTTTGTCTCCATGTTCTTTCTATTTTTGAGAAAGGTAAGTCATTTTCTTTCGCAAAAGCAAGAAAAGATATCGCTTTCTTTTTCTTTGAAAAGAAAAGATATGCATTATATATCTAATCTTTACTTTTGAAAATAAAACATACCACTTTACCGTTACTCTGGAAATGATCGGTAAAGTGCCACCCTTATTACAGTCACAAAATCTCGATTAAATTATTAATAAAACATGCAGTAACATTACTTTTTGGCGTTGCTCCGAAAACTGCCTACTCTCTTTGTAAAAGACAAAAATCGGTTTCTTCAAAAGAGCAAATCCGCCTAATCAAGCTTAGACGATAATACACGCTAAAAAACTGTCACACTATCATTAACGGCTAACACACATTATGTGTGTTATAGTGATAGTGGGACTCACAATGTGTGACACATTGTGAGTTTTCCGCGTAGAATCGAGGACGTATATTCATAATCGCAATTTCTGCGCTATTGTAATTAAAAAAAGTTCATTTATAAATTCCATAGTAATCTGTATAGTCTAAACAATCCGTATCCCAATAGGAATCCGGCCACGGGTCCCACACAATAGATCCATGCATAATATTCATAGGTACTCGAGGCCACTGCTGGTCCCAGCCAACGCCACGGATTCAATGCTGCGCCATCTCGATCAGCACCCACTAAAAACGACGAAAAAACCGTAAGGCCAATGGGTACGGCTGCTTCCTTGTGCGAATGGTACGAGGTTGCGAAAAAGATGACGAACGACAGGAAGATGGTACACAGGAACTCGATACCGAAAGCTTGGAAGACGGTGACACCTTCGGCCAGTGACGGTGTCCCCAGAGAAGAACCGCTGCCGTAGAGCCACAACAGCATGGCACCGGCAATAAGAGAGCCAATAGCCTGTGCTACGAGATAGCCGGGAATTTCCAACAGTTTCATCTTGCCAGCGAATGCAAATGCTAGTGTTGCTGCAGCATTGAAATGTCCACCTGACACTGGTCCGAACATGTACACAAGCCAAATCGTTACCAAGCCATGTGCCGTGGAAACCGGTAGAAGTCCAGGTTGCTTAGCCGCGCAACCAGCGCCGAAAAAGACGAAGATCAGCGTACCTAATAACTCACAGATTAATTTAACGATGAGTGATGGTGGTTTGAGAAAACCATTGGCTGTACGTTTGTTTTGAATGGCAGTCTCATCTTCGGCAATGTCCACGGGCATGATTGTGTTTGCTAAGTAATAACAATTCAAACTCTGCTCTTGTGTGTCATCAGAAGAAATTAGACGTTGAGTGACAGACATCTAAAACAGAGAAGGGGAAGAGAACAGAAAAGATAGAATATTTGATTGAAATAGAAAAAGAGAAGAACAAGGAACATCCGTTTTTCTAACTCCGGAGAAAAAAGATGAAACACTAGGGTTCTTACGAAAGAAAATTATATGATGATTCTGTAGCTAGATAGTTTCTGTTTTCATTTTCCACTAAAACCAGCATATGTTTATTTTTATTAAGAGATAAAAAACTATCTCTTGAACAGCACGTGGCTGGTTATAGATGTTCTTGTCTGCATTTTGTTGCATACGAGTGATGTGGATGAATAAACAAAAATGTTGTTTTAGAGAACTAAAAGATATGTTAACTATTGATTTGCTATCACTTCCTTATTCTACTTTATTTTCATATATTGCATATAATAGAACGACATCAGCCAGTAAAGAAAAAACTTTTACTTTATTACTATAGAGAGTTTTTTTTATTCAGACATCATTTATTCCATTTTCAGAAGAAGCGATGCTGACTATGAATTTAATCCATATTCTGTCAACATGGGGAACGAAAATTAAAATAATTAGAGAGTACCCATTTCCACTTTGT